CGGTCCTTCTGCCTGCTCTGCTCCCCGCTCTGGCTCTGGTGAATTCTCTCACCCTCCCGCGCTTCTGACTGTACCCAGTGCTTGTATAAATAAATAAATAAATCTTAAAAAAAAAAAAAAAGCATTTAAAAACAAACAAAAAAAGTCATAGCTTGCAATATTTTTTACAAAGATGTGTAAGACTGGGAGTGCAACTTCACACCTCGACGTGTGCACAAGCTTCACCGCCCTCCACCAAGGAACTCTCACTGGGTTGGAATGCCAGTTAGTGCAGCCTCTGTAGAAAATGGTGTGGAGATTCCTTAAAAAGTTGGAAATGTCATACGATCTAGCAATACCGCTCCTAGGTATTTATCTGAAGAATATTAAAACACTGAGACAAAAGAATTTGTGCACCCCTGCCTACATAAAGACATAGCAAAAAGCAAAAATACAGCAACAAAGAGTTATTCACAATAGCAAGACCAGTAATCAATCTAAATGTCAATGACAAACAAATGGATAAAGAAGCTATGGGATATACACTCATGGAATCTACTCAGCTATTAAAAATGATAGTGATTTTGGGAACAATGGAGGGATGAACAATATGGATGTGATTCGATGAGTAATTACGGTAGGGCTTTGCTCATCTGTGGAATATAAATAACCAAAGAAAACAAGCTAGGGGTCTCCCTGGTGGCGCAGGGGTTAAGTCTCTGCACTATGAAGCCATTGGCAGCCACTGTGGCACGAGTTCAATCCCTGGCCAGAGAGCTACCCACAGGGCACAGCAGACCTCTCCTGACTCGCCCGCTGCTCCCCTCAGCAGTGGATTTCAGTAGATCTGCCTGTTCTGCTCCCCACTCTGTCTCTGGTGAATCCTCTCACCCCCCACACCTCTGGCCTGCACCCCAGCTCTTCTATGCAAAAAATAAAAAAAAGAATTAAATGTAAACAAATAAAAGCAAGAAGGTGGTCTTCTGCGAAGCAAGAGGAATGAATGCCCAACGTATGAGAATGTACTTGAATTCCAAATTTGGGGTGACAAAGACCCCCCTCAGCACTGTTACCCACATGCCTGATGAGGTGGGACCAGACACGTCATTGTGGCTTATGCTCTTCTCTATGCCCTCCGTCCGGGCGGCCGCTCCCCCCGTGGCTGTGCAGTTCTGTGACTTCCGTGACGTCAGGCCTGCTTCCTCGCCGCGCTCCAGGGCCGCAGAGGGCAGGGGTGCTGAGCAGCTTCCGTGCGGGAGCCTGCGGTGGGGGCATTTCACGGTCACAGAAATTTCTCGTGGGCAGCCTGTTCTAATGCGTACTTCACTGTGCGCCTTTGTGATAAGCGTAATTTTTAATCAATTGTGTACCTGCCCTTTTATAGCATATCAATACCAGCCATTATTTATCTCCGTATAAAATAGGCTAAATCTCACTTTCTCCTCCCCAGAAAACAAATAATCCAAGCAATTGAACTCTTGGTTCCCTGAGACAAGCAGTGAGAGCGACCTCTGACGGGGTGGGAGGTCCCCGCCTTCTCGCCAGTGTCCGTCTGTCTTGTTCACGCAGCATCTCCAGGCCAGGTAGCAGCAGTGCAGGGAGGAGACGTGGAAGCTGCGCAGAGTGTGCCGCTTCCTCAGAAAGTCACAGCAGTGTACGCATGTATGGTCCCTGTTCGGACAGGGCTTTCCTGGGAGCTTATACTTATTGCTAATTCTCTGGGCAATTTTTTGAGCCAAGAAAAGAGAATAAGGGAAAAGCGAGGACCTGGCTCAATGTCGAGGGGACAGAGAGGGCGAGGGAAGGTGGCGAGGCCACGAGATGCCGCTCGGGAGACGGGGGCTGATCTGGACACGAGACTCACACGCTGAAGGGCCTGAGTGCCTGGCGGTGCTTTCAACCTCCACCCGGAGAAAACAGAACAGACGGGAAGATCTTCGGAATGGAAAGACTATACTTTTTGTTATGATCTATGAGCAAATAATTGCACGAGTTTACTGACGACTGAGGGTCGGGGAAAGGCCTCGGTTCTCGTGGTTCCTCTGGGGCGCAGGTGAAGTGGGTTTATTAACATCAGCCATTTGCCTTGCTGGGGGTCAAGCCCACACAGTGGGGCAGATCCTTCCTCTAATTTTTTTCTGCAAGTTTTATTCGAGAAATACAGACTCACAAAAATGCTCCACCGAAGACAGGCTTAGTGTGGGGGGCCGTGCTCCTGCTCCCTCGGGGGGTCGCAGGGCTCCTGAGGTGCAGCCGGAGAGGACCACGTAGCTGGCGCCCCCAAAAGGTTGAAGACAGAATCCCCGCTGTTTTCACTCCACACCCTTTAAGATCCGGAGAACCCCCCTGTCTGATAAAGTTTGCTTAAGATGTGCTTGATTCACCTCAGCGTTGAACAACCTGATCATTGAAACAGCTCTATGGTTTTATATGAAAAATAAGTTTTTATTTTTAGGATGTTGAAGGATTTAACCAAACAGCCTATATGTGAGTATTTTGTATGAGGGTGTGTGTGTGGACATGTGTGCATGCACGGGCACGCACACACACACGGCGGGAGGTGCGCTCAGTGACGGCACGATGTCAGCAACTGGTGAGTGACGGGCCAGATCCAACATGTGAAAGTTTCCACGTGTTTCCCTAGGTTTTAAAACATGTTGTATGGAGAGAGGAAGATCTACAATGGCAAACACAATCTGCTTTGATGATTTTGCCCAGCGTAGGGGGTGCCAGATGGAAGAGTCCGTTAGGAGAGAAACGATTTTGAGACCCACTGGGAGGCGAAGGTGGGAGCCCGCAGCTGAGGGAGACAGCCTCGGGCCCGGGGAAGGGCTTTCTGCTCGTTCCTTGAATCGCCGTACCCTTCCTTTAGGAGTCAGGACTCGACGCTCAAGTCTCTGTGACTTAGATTCTCCGGGGGGCAGGCAGGCAGGACCCCAGGGAGGGGCGTGTCCTGAGTCCTGCCCTGTGCAGACCGCAGCTGGCATGAACGCGCCAACTCTAAACGGAGGTACTCGCAGGGGTGGGGAAGCCAGCCCGCGGAGGGGACCTCAGCCTTCCCCTGCAGTGCTGCAGCTTGACCAGGCGGAGCCCGAAGCTTGAAGGTTGCCTCAGACAGGACCGGCCTGACCTTGAGCTTGCCTGGCCTGGCTGTTCACCCCGCTGGCTGTCTGTGCAATAGATGGCGTGTCGGTGAGTCTGCTCCTGGGCAGACATCGGCCTGCAGCATTTTTGTAGAACATACCAAGGACTGGCCTGCGATTGTAGCACGCAGAGGTGGGTGAGCTTCTGCCTGGATAGAGCAGGAGCCAAAACAACATTGCAAACATTGCTGCCACCCAAGGGGGACAGAAGAGTCATCTGCAGATTCTGAGATGCTTCATTTCATGTGGAAAAACTGTTGCTGACATTCTCCTTCAAGAGGCTAGTGGATTTGTGACTGGGTTCCCCGTGTAAGCCTTTCTGTCCCCACCCCTTTCTGCCCTTTTTTTTTTGTTTGTTTATTGTTTAACCTTTCCAGTAGGTTATAAGAAGTGTGACGTTGGAGTTACTCATATTGCTGATGAAGGTCTTCACAGCACATGCTCCTATCTCTGCCACAAGCTCTCCTGATTGCACATGAAAATTGTCACCGTTCTTGTGATCCTGTTATTCTGCCAGTTGCAGCTATGATTTTAGAATGTGTTTTATGGTAACTACTGCATTTGCTGATCATCGCAATAGTCATAGACTTGAAGACTGTGCACATTAAGGCATTAAAACTATAAAGATGTATCAGATAATTAGATTTTCTTATCAATACAGTTTATCTCCCCTTTCACACTGGGTCCGGATATTCTCTGGACAGTAATGACATTAAAAGGTATTGTGAATAAGTAATAAAATTGTGAAATTTGACATCCTTATGCACTTTACAGTTTGCAAAGCATTGTCACTTAGAATCATAAAGATGGCTGAACAAGTCACAATTCAATGTCTGCAGAGACTATAATTTAGCAAAGGAAATAGAGTGAACAGTAGAAGATTTAGGAGCGCTTTGCTTTTTCGTTAGTTTCATACTAATTGTTTTTAATAAATCATGTGCATTTGGGAAGTTGCTGGTTCACACTCACAAAAATGCCATTCATTTTTCTAGATGTTCTTGATGATAACAGTACAGTTTTAAGCCAACGTTTTGCCAGAACCCCTACGTTGTCCACTAACAAGAAGTAAAGTAAGGAATAAAAGAACTCTTTAGTAATTTTAGAAATCTAGAAAGGTGCTTCTGAACAAAGTTAGTTTTTACACACAGGGAAGTGTGAAGCCATCCAGAAAGAGTCCCCTAATTTCTAGAATAACACCATCTACCTGTGTGTCACCAATTGAGGGAAGTGATCAGAGATGTTCAATTATTGTGCTTTTTTTTTTTTTTTTTTTTTGGTCCAGCTTTTACTCTTGAAAACGTGGCATTGGGAATAGAGTTGCCTAGTCAGAAACACTAGTAAAATGCCACACACCATCGCCGGACACAGCTCTGAGCTTCATGGGGTCTTGCCTCTCTGTGCCGTGTTGGGAGTTTTCACGGAAAACATAGCAAACCGTGTCCCAGCCTTCACATCATGAAAATGGGTGGTTTGTCCCTGTGAATGAGAATGTAAGAGGGAACATCTGAAGCCTTCAAATGTGTCCAGATGCACGATCAGGAATTCAGGCGCAGCGGTCTGGAGAGTTCCAGCAGCCTCTATGATCCTCCTTCCTACAAACCTCACAGCAAGTGCTGGCATCGAAAATCCACCTCCCGGCAGCATCCGGCTGCTTCTGGCAGGGGGCGGCTAACCTTGCTGAGAAAGTCTCGGGGCTCTGGGCTACAAGAGAGAAAGACTCCTACTCTTTTGACATCAATGTCGATTTTCTAGATTCTAGTTGTGCCTCCTCAGTGTTGAGCCCTCCCGGGTTTCAGATGATCCTGAGGAAGTGCTTTTAAGCTTGAGCTTAGTCTGGACTCAGCACTGACCAGCTGCTGCTTCTGCTCTTTCCTCCAGCAGGTAGACCGACCTACAACAGCTTTTATGTCTATTGCAAAGGCCCCTGCCGGAGCGTGCAGCCGGGAAAGCTCAGGGTGCAGTGCCATACCTGCCAGCAGGCCACGCTCACCTTGGCCCAGGTAAGTGAGGCGTCGCAGGGGATGCTGGGACGGATGTATATCTCCACAGAGGCCTCTGGGGTTTCGAGTGAAGCATCACCCATCATTGGAAATGAACCTTGTGCTTCTGTGTGGCTGTGATGGTTGATGGTATCTGAAGTTTCGCCGACACATCCGCCTTCCTGATTTCTGTGAAAGCCGACGTACCCAGGGCCGCTGGCCCCAGTTCTGCCCTCCAAACTATGGGCAGGGGGTGTAGAGACGCTGTTACAACAGGAAGGGTTCAGATTCTTTGAGGGTGTCTGTTTGAAGCTGCCATGGGGTCTTACAAGAGTCTGGAAGGGCTTCCTCCCTTCACCCACGCGTGGTGACGTGGCTGTGTGTGTGCGTCGAGATCCAGCGGACTGCTGCGGTGGGCGTGCACAGGGTGCTGACGTAAGCTAGACGCCAATGTGGAGTGAAAGGCAAGTGAGGGCGGGCACTCTGCTAGAGACGCAGGGGTCAGCATGCTGTGGGCCGCTGTGGCCTCAGCTGGTTGTGTTCAGTCCACAGCTCAAATGTTTTTAACAGTTGTCAGTTGTTGAGAAGCTCCACGGGAAGGAGACTGTTGAGTCGTCCATGAACATGGTGAAGTAGAGTCCAGCGCCCACAATGAGTGTCAGGGGACCGCCCACCTCTGCGCTGTGGTCTGTGTGGCTGTCGTGCCCACGGGCTGAGTGAGAGCAGGACACCCCATGGGTGGCCGGCAGGGCCCAGCGCCCTGGCTCTCTGGCCCCGCAGGGAATAGGCTCGTGTGCCCCTGCCTGAAAACACACCCACGGCTGGTTCACGGCTCCAGCCTTATGCTTGTGTAGAATTTGTCTGCGTGTGGTGTGGACACAAACGGGGAGCGAAGAGATTGTTGGGGAGGCAGCAGAAGACCGAGTGCTTGGAGGCGAGGCAGCCTGGCTGCGTGTAGACAGGCACTCTGACCCCACTTCATGACCCTGACGGTGGTGGGAACATTTAGGTTTTGTGCATGAGGTCGCGGAGCCCGGCAATGTGTGGGCGGGCGGCTGCCTGGCCTCTGTCTGAGAACGCCCTGTTCACGCGCGGCGGTGGCCGTGGGGGTGGACGTCGTGACAGAGGCAAAGAAGGTGCTTAGGAAGCCCTGCCCGTGGCTCCGCGGTGAGGAGGCCCATGTGAGGCGACCTGTGATGGGAAAGCCGAGTGCTGGCGCCCTGAGAAAGGGCAGGAGAGTGGACCCAAGGCTCAGGCCTGGGGAAGTGGACGAACTGCTCCAATATGGGGTCCGATGGTTTAGCCACCTGTGGGGATCCACTTAGGGAAACCATCAAGCCATCAGGGGGACGCCTGTGTTTGCCCTGACCGACTGGGGCCGACCCTTCCTCTGTGGATTCCTTAGCCGGTGCCGCCGTCCCGGCCGCGTGCTGTCCTCACGCCCGACAGGCCGGCCCCCGCCGCTTCTCCCCTCTGCCTCCGGCCTCCCTGGTGTCATAGCAGCCTCTGACTCTGCCGTGCTGCTGGCGCAGACCCGAGGCCTGACGCGGCTGAGGCTGGATGTGACCTGTTCATAGTCAGTTGCTGTCATTTTTCTTACTGAACTCCCAGTGCGTTATCGAATTTCATAGCAACAACCGAATTATTTGCTAACACCCCTATTTCATATTTGAGGAAAACGAAGCTCAAAGAAAAAAAGTGGCAAGAGCTTGCTGGGGGTTGAGCCCAGACTGGACGAGCGACGCTTGTAAACTCAATCACAGCCCTTTGCACATCCTGTGCTTACCCCGAAGCTCACCTGCTCAAATAGCCTGGGGGTCGGACAGATGGCGTAAAGGCCAGCAGAGGCGCTGGGCATTTTCTTCATTTGTTAAACTGCTTAATTATTTGGACCTGGAAATCCTCATGCAAGAATAGGAGATTTTCAATCTTGTCTAAGACTATGCCAATGTAATACTTCCCTGGGATAAGAAACCGATTGGGATTTTACCTAATTAAACATAATTGACAAATGGTAAACTTCTAAGATCCAGATCCGTGTCAGACTGCAAGTTTATTTATAACCAGGTTAAAATAGTTTCCTACTGGTGACCATCAGTAATGTAGGAAATATGCTCAGGACTGTCTTGCTTATTGATACTTATTCTGAAAGGATTTCATTGTTTTGAAACATTAGGAGCATTTGAGTTGTTTCTTTGGGATTTTTAGTAGCATTCATAGGAGCTAGATAGGAGTAATCCTTCTGCCCAATATTGTAATAATAGAGGTCGTGTGTGTGTGTGTGCGTGTGCGTGTGTGTGTGTGTGTGTGTGAGAGAGAGAGAGAGAGAGAGAGAGAGAGAGAGAGAGAGAGATTGACTATCTTCCTGCCCGGAGGACTCCAGCCTTCTGAACATCCTGAGTCTGAAGCTTTGGTGTCACCTGGCCGGGGGCCCTGTCTGTGGCTGACCAGGTGTGTTAGTAAGGCTTCCAAGCAGGCAGATCTGGCCAGGTTCACGTGTGGCCTGTCAGAAGCAGAGTCAGCTCTGGGGAAGGGGGTTGAAAATAGGCAGACGTGGGTGTTAGTGGCCCACTGCCTGCTGTGTTCAAGGGACCGATCACTGCCATAGTCCTGCCTGGAGCGGAGGTGGGCCTGGGATAGAAAAGAGAAAAGGCCTATGGAAAAAAATTTAGGTCAGATGTAGGCGGTAAGGGGGTGGTGAGGACCTCAGTGGGTGGGTGCAGACACAGCCCACATACAAGAGGCAGGTGCGAGGAGCTTTCTCTACACAAGGAGAAAAGTGGAACTTACTGAGCTGCCTGGCTTGTTTTTAAAAACAATTTCACTTTTCTCTGGTCTGAAGAAACAAACCCCATGCTTCCCACGAGTGTTAGTAGTAACATCTCTTTTTTTCTATTAATTAATTTATTTTTTTATTTATTTATACAACCACTGGGCACAGTCAGAAGCGCGGGAGGGTGAGAGAATTCACCAGAGCCAGAGCGGGGAGCAGAGCAGGCAGAAGGACCGAAGGACACTGCTGAGGGGAGCAGCGGGCGGCAGGAGAGGTCTGCGCGCCTTGTGGGACCCTCCTCCGGTGGCCGGGGAGCCGCCGGGGATCGAACCGGCGCTGCAGAGGCTGCGGGCAGCTTCGCAACCCAGCGCTGAACCGCTGCGCCACCGGGGAGGCCCTCGATTTGTTGTTGAGTTGTCGTGGAGACTTACCATAAACCTAACATTCCCTCAACACTGTTTAAATTTTGCATGTGATGATAATTAGCCGGTCTCACACATGCTGTTCTCGGCTGTAACTGTTTAAATGCTTCCTATTTAGCACGACACTCACTATACATTCTCGCAAGGTGGACTGTGGTTCCTGTCTTGCTGTTAAGGACACCAATGTCTCAGGTTAGGTCTGACCTCGATGGTAAGTGGAAAATCAGTCCGGACACCAATTTTTCCTCTGTCTCCCAGTCGAATTATCTTCTTTGTTTCATGGTGACCTTGACCAAGGTTTCCACTAGCCAAAATAGTCTTTAGAAAAATGAACGCTCACCGGAAGAGAACACAGCCGACTGGAAAAACATGGCAGGCATCCAATTCCAATTGCCTGTTCAAGGACTGTCCACATAGGTCCAGCAGAAATGACACAGGCTTGAACACAGAAGGCAGGGTGCCTTTCCATGCTCATGCATTTCTGCTTGTGTTCTGGAATAAAAAAAACAAACACTTTAAAATAACCTGTGGCATTACTGTTTCATCTGGGAAGCTAAATGAGGACCAAGTCACATTCTGATATGTACTGTGAGCCTCTCTTTTATTTGCTTTTTTTAATTCAAAAAAAAAAAAAACAGGCAAAAAAATTTAAGATTTTCCTAGCTCTGTAGAAAAAAGACTGCTTTGAGAAATAACTGGAAATTTTAAAAGGAATTTATATTGGGAAAAAGAAATAGCACTGAAAGACTTAAAAGATCTTTCTCCCTCTCGCTTCCCCTTTGAACCTAAACTCAAGGTTAGAATCCCGGCAGGTCAGATTCTTCCACTGTTAGTCCTGCTGTTTGTTTGAAAGGGTCAGGTGTGAAAAAAGAGCCTTCAGGTAAGGAAGATGGATGGATGAATGGGTGGGCAAATGGGTGGATGGATGGATGGATGGATGGATGGGTGGATGGATGGATGGATGGATGGATAAATGGACGAACAGATGGACTCTCAGATCAGACTCCCTAAGATCTCTAAACTCGTTTACATAAACGTAAGACAAAGACAGAGACTGCCTGCCTTGTTAAACATGTTGCCTGGCTAGAGAAGCTTCATTAGAAGATGAAGCTGTTGGGCCTCCCTGGTGGCACAAGGGGTTAAGCACAGCACTGTGAAGCAATCCACAGCCTCTGCAATGAGTTCGATCCCCCACCAGCCAGGGAGCTACCCACATGGCACAGCAGACTTCTCCTGTCTTCCTGCTGCTCCCCTCAGCAGTGTATTTCAGTCAGTCTGTCTGTTCTGCTCCCCACTCTGTCTCTGGTGAGTCCTCTCATCCCCATACTTCTGGCCTATGCCCTGCTCTTATATGCATAAATAAATAAATCTTAAAAAAAAAAAAGAAAAAGAAGACGAGCTGATGATGAGGAGTCAGACCTTGTGGATAATTCTGGAATGGTTCCTCCTCTCACCCTGCAGCCTCCGCATGCTCAGTCCTGGCGTGCTCTCCCCTGCAGCCTGGCAGTGTGCTCCTTCCTGTCATCTTGCACCAGTCCCATTCTATATCACCGTGACTCCTGAGGAAAGCCAAGCTTTGACAGGAAGGCATGGTGTTCCCCGAACAGGAGGTCGGCTCAGCGTATAGTAAGGATGTTCATTAGTAAAACAGTTGCTGATTTCAGTAGTCACTGGCGCAGGCGGGGTGTGGTGTGCAGCCAGGACCTGGTCCGTGGCCCTGGCTGTGGCGGTGGGCTCTGAGGTGCCTGGGGCAGGGGGGAGGGTGAGGCACAGGCCTCTCCTCTCTCAGGAGCTCTGGATAAATTCTGTCCTGATGCTCACTAGCT